AGAGGCTGAGACAGGAGGATTAATCCAGCATATGCCTGTAATCTCAGCACTCCAGAGGCTGAGACAGGATCAGTCCAACACACACCTGTAATCTCAGCACTCCAGAGGCTGAGACAGGAGGATTAATCCAGCATACGCCTGTAATCTCAGCACTCAAGAGGCTGAGACAGGAGGATCGTAAACTCAAGGCTGATCTGGGCTGTATAATGAAGCCTTATCTTAAGAAATTCTAACACATAATAAACCATTGTGTCCTCAATGCATTCCAATCAAAGAATGTCCTCCACATACTTGCCTCTTTCTCAGCTGGGATAGAGATCCTATACTGTGATAGCTTGGGAAACTGCAGTCCAGGGAGATTAAATGATTCAGGTTAGGGTTTCTTTCCCCCTATTTTTTCTCTCTCTGAAATCTCATCAAATGATATCCCTTCTTCCTTGTAAGGAAGTGGCATCTCTTGTGAAGATAAGAGTTGAGGGCACAGACCCTGGGACCTGGGTAAGTAGGGCAGTAGCCTAGCAGTAGCCAGAGTTCTTCAGAGGAGCAGAACCAGAGAACATGTGTATAATTACTCAAGAGGACTTGCTAGGTAGGTGTGCAGGATCAGAGTGGGGAGCATTCACAGTGGCGGCCTGTGATCCGAGGCAGGAGAGTCTGTGGTAGCGCCTGGCACACTGAAGAATCAGAGGATCCAGGAGCTGCTCAGCCCAAGGAGATGAGAGCCACAGAACAAGAGGGGTCAGGATGCAGTGCCAGTCCCAGGACAAGGGCCTGGAAGCTCCCTGGAGAGTCACGAGCATGAGCCTGCATTACAGCCCGAAGAAACTGGAGACTGATGTCCACAGGCTGTGGCAAAGCTCTTTGCTTTGGCAAACCTCTTCCAAAATCAGGATGCATCCCTCTTTCCCCTTTACTCCCATCCAGGCTACACACCTATTGGTTGGTGCCTCCCACATCCAGGATGGATCTTCCCTGCCCAGTTTGCTGACTTATGTGTCAGTCATTGACAGATGTGCCCAGGACTGTACTCCCTTATCTGCTAGGCATTTCTTAATCAATTCAAGGTGACATATCATGATAATGGTCACAGAGTGCTGGGTTGATACTTCTCCAAGCCTCAGCAGCCTTACCTACTAGAAGTGGACAACAGAGACTTCTCCCCAGTGATGTCCTGGCATGTGTTGAGTAATGGGCTCTCCAATTTGCCAGTTTCTGTGTGTAAGTACCTTCACCATGCTAGTTTCAGGCCACCAGTGTGAGGCCCCGAATGTGGAGTTTGAAAAGAGTACACGTTGGTTCTTGGAAGCCACGGCTGGCAGGGCCAGCACATGGCTGTCCTACTGTAGGAGTGAGGTTGGTGCTGTGGGGTGGAGGAATTACCATTAGCAGTCTGTGCAGGTCAGGGGCTCCCAGTGCTGGCTGCCTTCCTCCCTTCCCTCTTCCTCCTCCAAGTCATCGTCTGCTCCCTCGCTGGTCAGCTTTATCTGTCCTGGGTTTTCCGTGTTCACCAAAACCTCTGGAAACGTTGTGATATGGCATTACCTACTAAACAGTGATTTCAAATGGAGGAATTAATTTTTTTAGCAAAACTAGCTTATAAGAGAAATTAACTTGAGGTTACACATAGTTT